CAGAGATGCAAGATTTACACTTTGAAGTAGATGTTATTAATTTAAAAGACTGCACACAGTTTATTACACATAAGCTATTAAGTGGATACTTGTTAACATGTGAGGTATAGAAAATTAATGAAATACATCAATCTATAATTTATATGAGTGGGTCCTCAAATCACTTGTCCACATGCATATTTAAATATTATCATCTGTCCATTTGGACATGGCAGGATGAGCAACCTATGGAACAAGAAGAAGAACTTAAAGCTCACTTTTCATAATCACCTAATACTAAAATCAGTGAGTATAATGCATATTAATTTAATTAGCCTCCAAATTTACGATGCTGAACTCTTACTATTTCTCATTATTTGACTATCCTTTTTCAATTGTCTGTATAGGGTATGGGAACATGAACACTCTCCAAATATAAATCCTGTGACTATACAGATTGACATGCAAACAGTTTCTTTGAAAAGTGTTAATCACTCATGTCTGACTCTTTGTGTACCCATGAATTGTAGCCTGCTGGGCTCCTCTATCCATGGAATTCTCCAGAAAAGAATACTGGAGTGGATTGCCATTTCCTTCTTCAGGGGCTTGTCTCAACCCAGGGATCGAACCTGGGTCTCCTGCATTGCAGGCAGATTCTTTACCAACTGAGTCACCTGGGAAACAGTTTCTTCATTTCCTGGTTATACACAAGGAGCATCCCTTTTCAAATCTACATGTTCATGGATAATTATAATAGTACATATGAAAATGTATTAAATTTTACATTCTGTCAAATGCAGAACTAAAAGAAACTTTTATGATGGGAAAATCTTATTAAGAATTTTTATAAAGCAGTCTATATTTTGTTTTCTTTTTAGATAAGATGTGTATCATGCTAGATTTAAAAATCGGTGAAACATATAACAAACAGTAAAGAATGAGTAAATAAATGAGTATAGTTTAAATTTCCTTTTTTAACCTAAATTTTCTATAGTGTATACATATTATTTTTAGTGTAAGAAAAATAAGTTATTTTTAGGTTAGTCATACCTATGTATCTACTTACACTTCTTAACATCTGTGGCAAAATTTTTCTAAAAATATGTAATTAATTTCACATGTGCAATGTGTAAAACACAGGCACTTTTGTTCAGAGCTCCAAACTGCATCCTGTGGCCCAGTGCAGCAGAGATGGGTCACAGTGAGCGGATTATGGGGTGGTGGAAGGGGCACTGGGCTGATAGAATCCTGACTTGTGGGCAGCCTCCTTCCTCTACTCCACTGTTTTCTATGAGCTGCACCATGGAAAAGGGTTGCAGTGCATTGGTTACTGTCTCTGGAATGTTATCTCCTGACTCCAACAAAAGAAACAAATTCTGTCAGCATAATTACCTTTCTGACATGAAAATCAAGAAGCACTCCCTAAGTTAGAATGCATAGAGGGTTGATACATCAACATTCACAAACAGAGAGTCAAATTATCTTGAATGTGAAGTGTATTCCTGAACTAACACTTGCTCAACAACGTCAGAAAATGGCAACGAATCTTGGTGGCCAAAGAAAAAGTCAAGATCCTAAAGAGAAGTCTACTTTTAACCATAAATGTGTTTAATCTTTTAACAATAAGAATATGGCCAATTTGGCTGAAATTTTAGGTAATAAAAGTTATTATATAAAAATTCCCGCCTAATATCTTTCTTAGTGTGTCCAGATAAGACAAACCACTTTCTACATTTTCCTCATTACTTTATTAAGAAATATATATATTTTTAATTATCAATTGCTTTCTGTATGCAGAGAATTGCTTGGTAAATTCTGATTTATTCAGAATGAAATCTAGTGTTTATGAGCAGGGTGGCTTATAAAGTGATAGAATCTATCTCTAGACTTGGCTGCAGCAGAAGAGCTTAACAACCATGAAAGAACAAAATAGGTTTCAGAGGTGAGTCCAGCCCTCCTGACCATGGCTCCTGCAGCTCCATCGGAAGGTCTGAGAAGTAATCATTTATATTCACACATTTTCCCTATTGCCTTATTTACGTGGTATTAAAATTTAAATGTAAATAATTGATAAATAGATAGCCTGAATGGGAAAAGAATCTTAAAAAAAAAAAAGTGGATATATGTGTATGTGTAACTGGTCCACTTTGCTCTATACCTGAAATTAATACAATATTGTAGATCAAATATACTGCAATAAAAAATAAAAATGAGAAACAATAAAGAAATATGAGAATAAAATGCAATGTTGACAGAAGGAAAATATTGATAGAAAAAGTGATACAATCTAAATAAACGCTCATCCCGTTACCAACTATGCAGTCACATATCATCAAATTCATCCTTGCCATTTTCTTCAGAGCATATAATTTTGTAAAGTAAATCTCACAGGTGATGATTCTTCCTCAAATTTATGTGCCACATGTGAAAAGCAATGACTGTATTTTACAAATAAAAGTTCCACTTGAAAAAGTGATTCATAAATAATAATGTATCTCCTAATTAGAATGTAAGCTTTAAGAGATTGTTCACTAAAGTATCTCCAGGATGAGATGAATGGCTTGCATGTGTTAGCCATTAAATAAGTACTTGTTGCATGAGTAATGGTTTGTGGCCTTCCACTTCATCACATGATTTATAGCCTGGCACAATTTTTAAATGTAGGAATATGTTTCTCAAAAGTAGACAGTAAGAACCAGGAGGGACAATATCTATTGTGTATACCGTCATATTCCTAAAGCCTGACAATACCTTTGTGCTCAAAGGACAAACTCAACTTTTGGATAGCAATCATTATGATGGCGGCTCCTGTTTCTAAATTGGCCTCGTGATAGTCACCAGAGAAGTGGGTTGATTCGATGCCTCTGCTCTGAGGAGGGTGCAGTTTCTCCCAAAGTCTGAACATGTCCTTCCCTGTCCCAGTGGAGCACTACACCTTCATTACATGGAGCCCTGACGCAGGCCACATTCATCATCTCCTTTACTGCTCCTCATAAAGAGGAACAGATTGGCCTTCATATTACTTTAATAAAAATCTAAACTACTGCTCAATTGCACTCATCTCACACTCTAGTAAAGTAATGCTTAAAATTCTTCAAGCCAGGCTTCAGCAATACGTGAAGTGTGAATTTCCAGATGTTCAAGCTGGTTTTAGAAAAGGCAGAGGAACCAGAGATCAAATTGCTAACATCCACTGGATCATTGAAAAAGCAAAAGAGTTCCAGCAAAACATCTATTTATGCTTTATTGACTATGCCAAAGCCTTTGACTGTGTGGATCACAATAAACTGTGGAAAATTCTGAAAGAGATGGGAATATCAGACCACCTGACTCACCTCTTGAGAAACCTGTATGCAGGTCAGGAAGCAACAGTTAGAGCTAGACATGGAACAACAGACTGGTTCCAAGTAGGAAAAGGAGTATGTCAAGGCTGTATATTGTCACCCTGCTTATTTAACTTACAAGCAGAGTACATCATGAGAAACGCTGGGCTGGAAGGAGCACACACTGGAATCAAGGTCACCAGGAGAAATATCAATAACCTCAAATATGCAGATGACACCACCCTTATGGCAGAAAGTGAAGAGGAACTAAAAAGCCTCTTGATGAAAGTGAAAGAGGAGAGTGAAAAAGTTTGCTAAAAGCTCAACATTCAGAAAACTAAGATCATGGCATCTGGTCCCATCACTTCATGGGAAATAGATGGGGAGACAGTGGAAACAGTGTCAGATTTTATTTTTTAGGGCTCCAAAATCACTGTAGATGGTGATTGCAGCCATTAAATTAAAAGACACTTACTCCTTGGAAGGAAAGTTGTGACCAACCTAGATGGCACATTAAAAAGGAGAGACATTACTTTGCCAACAAAGGTCCATCTAGTCAAGGTTATGGTTTTTCCAGTAGTCATGTATGGATGTGAGAGTTGGACTGTGAGGAAAGCTGAGCGCCGAAGAATTGATGCTTTTGAACTGTGGTGTTGGAGAACACTCTTGAGAGTCCCTTGGAATGCAAGGAGATCCAACCAGCCCATCCTAAAGGAGATCAGTCCTGGGTGCTCATTGGAAGGACTGATGCTGAAGTTGAACCTCCAAACTTTGGCCACTTGATGCGAAGAGTTGACTCATTGGAAAAGACCCTGATGCTGGAAGGGACTGGGGCAGGAGGAGAAGGGGACGACAGAGGATGAGATGGCTGGATGGCATCACCGACTTGATGGACATGAGTTTGAGTAAACTCTGGGAGTTGGTGATGGACAGGGAGGCCTGGTATGCTGCGATTCATGGGGTCATAAAGAGTCGGACACAACTGAGTGACTGAACTGAACTGAAATGAACTGAGGACTGGGGACATGTAAATGAATGTTATTTTTCAAGGCAGTCAGCTGGTGATACTGCACATATACTTTCAGGAACCAGAAACTATACTTCTAAAGTAATGTACTGTATTGATATATCATAGGCACTCAATAATATTACTGAGTTGAAGAACAATTAACTTTAAATGGGTTTTAAATTAAATTATGTAGTTTTGAAATTAATTTATACACTGATATGCTTACTGACTATTAATTCTTATGAATCAATCATTATTTGGCACTTTCAGGAACTACATGCAATAAAAATAACTTGAAAGTTACAATTTCTTACCTTAAAAAGTTTATAAATCTCTTAACTCTGTATTATTCTAATGATCTTTATGATAACAGAAAGGCACAACATTGCTGTCATATCAATGAGTCAGACAATGGAAACAGTGAAACATTTAAGAAAGACACTATCCAGAATGTTCATTGTTGCTGTTGAAAATTATCTATGATTGTGATTAATTGCTCTTGAAATTGTGATCAAAATTAATCTGTTCAATTTTCTGGCTCTCTAGGTAAAATCTCACCCTATAATTACATAAATCAATGTGATCTGGACTTCTAAAAAAAACTGAGGTTAGAAAGATAGAGGTAATTTCTGCGTTGTCAGTGACTGATGAATGTTTTGATTTCAGTTTTAGTAAAGAAAAGGTCTTACCATAGCTGTCATAGGCATCCTCACTTACTCCATGACCATAGTCATAGTATTCAGGAACACTGCAATAGATTTAGACAGTAATCAATGTTACTGTATTTGAGAGGAATCAACCCCAAAACTTATATGGAATTTGAAATAAAAATGTGTACTGAGGTAATATCCCAAGAATCTCTAGACATAAAACACATATTTGAACATAAATAATAACAGAATAATATTCATTGAATAATAAAATTCTAGCAAGAATATTCAGTAAGAATAATACAGGTTATTGACAAAGAGTGCTATAATTTTCTCATCTCACATTAGTATTTTTAAAAAATCTCTATCCTCCACTTATATAAATCAAATTTCCTCTAAAACACAAGTATGAGACTTCAAGAGGAGAATTATGAACGGTCTATTTCCAAGAAAAAGTGCTACACAAGATGACAATCTGGTCAATTGTGTGTAAACTTTAATGCAATTAGCTTAAGAAATATACATCAATTTCATCTTCATTTTCATACACTGAAATTATACTTCCCTCCAACTTTTTCACAGCATAGGTCCACTGGTTTCTCACCTACATAAGCTATTTCCTCTCACTTAATATTTTGCTAGATGTTTAGCCTAATGTAACCAAGTTATCATTTTAAAAAATACTATAAAAAAAGTGGAAATTATTTAAACTTAGCTTAATATTTGGATAATTAATGTGTATTTTACTTAAGAATCCGCAATATTTGTGGTACACTATACTTTTTCACTCCAGCTCCTTCATCTAAAGATCTCTGCCTGAATAAATTTATGCTTATGTACATAAAGTTTATATGTATATTTAAGTTTATATGTATATTCACATATATAAATTTATGTATACATTTATAAATTATATCACAATTATGAATTCTTTTCAAGTATATAGAAGGGTGACAAGAAAAGGGCTTAATATCAGATACCAAATTGTATAAGGGTTGAAGGTGTGTGATAAATGGCCACATGGTTAGGTTGGAAGCAAGAGAGGAAGATCTAAAATTATTTGGTTATCTTTATCCCTCAAGACAATCCCATAGGCCTCATTTTATAAAATACTTGAGATTTCATTGATAGTAAGGTATGACGAGGAAAAAATAAAGTCTGTATATTAGAGGTGAAAAGAAAGATAGACAGAAATTCTGCCAAATTTATATTTCTGGGAAGCAATTGATAAGGAATAATTCATTTTAGTGTAATGTATCTGGAAAAGAAAAAGATAACTTCATCTTCATTGCCAGGATAATTATATACCAACTCTCTAAGAAAAAAACTTATGGTAATACGTTTTCTCTGCATCTTTCTAAGACTTGAGATTGTAGAAATCTAAGCCTAGTGGCTGGATGTTTATCTTCTTAGAAATGATGCAACCCAATTGAGAACCCACATGTATGTGTAGCAAAGTCCTGAGAGCTGTTACATTGATTTCCAGGATTATCAAGAAGTGGCAGTCATGACTATCTAGTGGTGTTATTTTGTTTTTGAATGGATTTCAGTTTAATTTTAATTGACCAAGCTAAGAATGGAAAAGGAACATGAGTAACAGAGACCATGACAAGAACCTGAGTCACTGTCTAACATAAATGACACATTTACACAAAGAGGGAATTTTAACTTTCAGAACTCAGACCTTTGTCTAACCCCTCTGTCCATGGGATTCTCCTGGCAAGAATAGTGGAGAGGGTTACCATGCCCTATTCCAGGGGATCTTCCTAACCCAGGGATCAAACCCATGTCTCTTATGTCTCCTGCATTGGCAGATGGGTTCTTTACCACTAGCACCAACTGGGAAGTTGCAAGTAATGGATAATGCAAAATAATGGGAGAATAATAGATAACAATCATAATGGACTCTTACAGAATTCATACTTTTGCTTATCCAAATATTACTTCTCATTGCTTCCATAAGAACATATTTTACATGAACAAATGACCACACAGTGAATGAAATACACTCCTAACCAACCTAGAAGCAAGATGTGCCCTTGTGACTGTGTCAGGAAACACGGGATATGCACAGAGGTAAGGGTGTCAACTTTGAGGTCATTTCCAATGAAGAGCAAGCTCCTCATCTTGGAATTGTGCACAGTCCCCTCCTCAGATGGTAGAATGCACAAAAAATGATTATCTACTATTCACCATGGAAATAAAGTTAATACCTAGGAAGTCTTGCACTGCAGCATACAAGGAGCTTGACTCTAAATGATCACATAAAAGCAGACTTACTCTAAATCACTGCCTACCTCAGGGATTGTTATAAGAAAAAAAAAAATCTCAAATATGGACTATTAGTTCACTGGAAGAGCAGACAGTGTAAGAAAAAAGTACTGTTTGATAGAAAGCTGATGGCCCATGTTATCCCATTACCACTAAAACCTGAATGGCAGGCTATAAGCATATATATTTCAGCATTATGAGGAAAAACTAGAGAAAGCCCAACTATCAGTAATCTTTGCTGCTTTCTAAAAATGTTTAAAGAAGTTATGAGCTCAAATAAGAATGGCCATTTTTTCAGAAAAATCAGAACTGAATAGAGATTTGCTAAGAGAAGTTATCTCTGCCTGTTTTATGTTAGCTCTATTAAAATAATTTAAAAATGGGATAGGGTTCAGAAATTTAGAACTTAACAGGATTAGAGAAGTCAACTGTTTTTGTATTTCAATAGCAAGAGATAATGAGTGCTGTTCCAAGATGCCCTAATATCTTTCCATTAGACTTTCCTCTCATGTACAATCTCAGGAACAACCCTTGAATCTCTAAACGTACAACGGCAGGAAGCATGTGGCAAACATTGTGAAGCCGGATAATAGCATGCTCTGCTTTATGATAAGGAAGGACCTTCCAATAAATCCGGTGTAACTTCCAGAAAAGAGAACCAAGGTTTCCAGAGGCACTCACCAAAAAAATTTATTTCAATGCTGGTGCTTAGATGCCTTTTAATCTGTTAAGGAGGATTTTGTAATAGTTATTGCTTATGAGCGTTTCCCAAAGGAACTTTCTACTGTAGTTAGTTTGTTCCTTTTATACTACTTTATATTGCATATTTTGTATGGGGAAGAAGGTCAAGAACAAGAAAGATATTTTGTCTATCATTTTATAGGTTTTGAGGCTTCAAAGAACCATATCAGACCTAATCTTCCCAGAGTCTAGATTTTGAGCTGGTTGCAGTAATTGGAATTGAACATGGATTTTTCTCCTTTAGGCAGAAGGTAGCCATTCTTATGTTTGTTTTAATGAGAATATGAGTATTCATTTATGTTTGGATGAGAGGGCTGGGCAAAGAAGACTTCAACCTGTTTGAAAATCCATTTGGCTCTTCTTTCAATAAGAAATATTGACAATCTCAAGACTATATTTTCTACTCTTCCTTTCATTTGAGTGTGGCCATGAGTGAAGTTATGTGTTAAAATTCTTCATGATTTTTATAAAATTAAATTTATTGTCCTCTACTTATTTTCAACTTTCATGTAACTGGCTGCAAACGTTAATTATTAGAGCCACTTTGGAAGACATGTTAACAGTGGTGGATGGAATCTTAGCATTTTCCAAAATTTATTTGTTGAAATCTGAATTCTTATTGTGGTGGTATTAGGAGGTGAGATTTTTGGGTATTAAATTAGATTATGAGGGTGGAGACCTGTCAGGAAGCATTTAGTAGGAGTCTTCCTGTGTGCTGTTTTGGATCTCTCAGGAATCCTCTGGCCCTTATTAATTCCTGAATATTCAGGAATTAAGAGGAGAGGCACGCCTTTCCTGAGGCTGAGGAATTCAGGCATGTCCTTCGTTAGTTTTTCAATATTGTGATAAGTACCCTCTTCCTTCTTATGAACCATATGGTAGAAAGTGATTGTTTACAGCTTTCTCTCTTTAATAGGGCTCACCTTATGTTTTGTAAGTCTGGAATTTTAATCTTTATCTTTGCTGAGAATAACTACCTTGTAAGACAGTATATATGCCCACACCATGTTGATTAAAACACCTTTGCTCCATCAGAGCTTGTCTCCACCAGTGTCTTCCTTCCTTTCTTTTTTTCTTTCTCTCTCTGTCTCTGTCTCTCTCTCTCTATATATATGTGTATATATATATATATATATATATATATATATATATATATATATTTCTGGCTGACTCCCTGGAGCATGAAAGCCGGCTGCGTAACCCAGGGAATATTAGCCTCTTTCCTTCTTTCACTCTCTCACCGTCGACTCTGGACCACCAGGTTCCGGTCCAATAAAGGATCAACAAGTGGCGCCCAGAAACGCACTCTGGTACACCGGGGACTCCATCTGGATTCAGACGGAGTGACCCCCAGGGCCTATTGAGGCTGATAAGTACTAAGACATGGGTCAATCGGCTGGAAACCCCCTCACTTTTCTACTTTACTTTAGCCCCCTCACTTTTCTACTTTACTTTCAGAATTTTCCTAATAATCCTGCCCCGGTTGCTCCAAGCACTTCTTCCCTGCCAGTGGGCACAAATCCCAAAGTCTCTAGAAACGGCTATTTTCCATACTGTATTTGAAAAAAAGAAAAAAGCTAAAAGACAACTAAAAACATTACTTGCTTATGAAAATGCAAATCAAGTATCTCAAAAGGCTATAGCTCCAATTCGTGAGACAGGGACTATTTTTGATTATTTGACAGCTTGTCGCCATATAAGATAAAAAACTCAAAAGATGTAAATGCTGGCTGAAACAATGATTGCTGCCTTAAAAAAAGAAAATGAAGTATGCTTTACATGTCGAGATAAAAACCATTTAAAAAGGGACTGTCCTAAGAAAGCTTATAAGAAACCTCCAAAAATCTGCCCTCATTGCTATAGAGGAAATGCATTGGGCCAAAGAGTGTAAATCTAAATTTGATATTAAAGGGAAACCTATTCCAGGAAACTCCAAGCAGGAGGCCCCCCTCCCCCGAGGTTCCCTTTAACAAAAACCAGGGGCAAATTCCACCTTTTCCCTCAAACCCTCAACACCCAGCAGTGCTGCCGTCGATACACCAGCCCTAAATGACTTTCTCCTTTACCCTCAAGCAGTCCCCTCTAG